GTTGCGGGGCACAGGCTCCGAACACGCAGGCTCAGTGGCCATGGCTCACGGGCCTAGCCGCTCTGCGGCATGTGGGATCTTCCTGGACCGGGGCACGAACCCGCGTCCCCTGCATCGGCAGGCGGACTCTCAACCACTGCGCCACCAGGGAAGTCCCCATGAAATGTATTTTTTAAATAACAAGACTTGAACATCAAAATCACTCCTTGACCCATGGACTGCAGATGCTGTGTTATCAGGCATGAAAACAATATTAATCTCATTGTACATCTCCATCAGAGCTCTTGGGTGACCAGGTGCACTGTCAATGAACAGTAGTATTTTGAAAGGAATCTTTTTTTCTGAGCAGTAAGTCTCAATAGTAGGCTTAGAATATTCATCAAACCATGTTATAAACTGATGTGCTGTCATCCAGGCTCTGTTGTTCCATTTATAGAGCACAGGCAGAGTAGATTTAGCATAATTCTTAAGGGTCCTAGGACTTTGCAAATGGTAAATGAGCATCAGCTTCAACTTAAAGTCAACAGCTGCATTAGCCCGTAACAAGAGAATCAGCTTGTCCTTTGAAGCCAGGCACTGACTTCTCCTCTCTATAGCCATGCAAGTCCTAGATGGCATCTTCTTCCAATTTAAGGCTGTTTTGTCTACATTGAAAATCTGTTGTTTAGTGTAGCCACCTTCACTAATTATCTTAGCTAGATCTTCTAGATAACTTGCTATAGTTTCTACACCAGCACTTGCTGCTTCACCTTGCACTTTGATATTATGGAGACGTCTTCTTTCCTTAAACCTCATGAACCAGCCTCTGCTAGCTTCAGATGTTTCTTCTGCAGCTTTCCTCACCTCTCTCAGCCTTACATGGAATTGAAGAAAAGAGAATTAGGTCCTTGCTCTGGATTAGGCTTTGGTTAAGGGAATGTTGTAGCTGCTTTCGTCTTCTATCCAGACCACTAAAACTTTCTCCATATTAGCAATAAGGCTGTTTCACCTTCTTATCATTTGTGTGTTTACTGGAGTAGCACTTTTAATTTCCTTCAAGAACTTTTCCTTTGCATTCACAACTTGACTAACAGTTTGGTGCAAGAGGCCTAGCTTTTGGTCTCTCTAGGCTTTCGGCATGCTTTCCTCACTAAGTTTAAACTAGCTTTTGATTTAAAGTGAGAGATGTGCGATTCTTCCTTTCACTTGAACACTTAAAGGCCATTGTAGAGGTTAACAGTACTGTATCGCATATGTGAAATTTATTGAGAGTATACATACATATAAAACTATACATATAAAACTGTGTGAGGTGATGGGTATTGTTAATTAACATTAGTGTGGTCCTCATTCCTCAATATAAATATATATCAAATCATCACATTGTGGTCCTTAAAGTTACACAATGGTATTTGTCAAATATATCTTCTCCGTAAAGCTCGATGAAAAAATAAAATCTGAAATAAAGAACTGACAATGAAACAAAAAGCAGGCTACAACTGAAACTTTTCCCTGTATTAGCAAATACCAGAGTATAATTATGTAACCAAATCTATGTTTTTGTTTTTTAGTGAAAAAGCATGGGTACTAATTTTCCAATCCCAAATAAGTTATTATTCATGAGCAAACTAATAATCATATAGTCTCAGACATGATAATTTCAAGAGATTGTAGGCAACCACATACCCTTTCTGAAAACATTACCTTTTTACATAAACTAACTAATGAGAAGACAAAGTAATGAATTAAGTATTTGAGTTATGATTTAAAAAGAAAATCTGGCAGTGGACAATAAAAACCACTTAAAATTTTCAAATCCACTAGAAGGCTGTTTCATCTACACTGAAAATCTGCTGTTCAGCACAGCCTCCCTCATTAACTATCTCAGCTAGATCTTCTGGATAACCTGCTGCAGCTTCTGCCTCAGCACTTGCTGCTTCACCCATGTTCTGAAAATGCCCCTTTTGCTTATACCTCATGAATGAACCTCTGCTACTTCAAACTTTTCTTCTGCACCTTCCTTGCCTCTCTCAGCCTTCACAGAATTGAAAAGAGGTAGGGTCTTGCTCTGGATTAGGCTTAGACTTAAGGGAATGTTACGTCTGGTTTGATCTTCTATCCGCACCATTCGAGCTTTCTCCACATCAGTCACAAGGCTCTTTTGCTTCTTATCATTTGTGTTTTCATTGCAGTAGGTTTAACTTCCTTCCACAACTTTTCCTTTGCATTCACGACTTAGCTGTTTAATGCAAGAGGCCTAGCTTTTGGCATATCTCAGCTTTCAGCATGCCTTCCCCACTAAGCTTAATCATTTCCAGCTTTTGATTTAAAGTGAGTTATGTGCAACTCTTCCTTTCACTTGCACACTTAGAGGCCACTGTAGGGTTTTTAATTGGCCTAATTTCAATATCATTGTGTCTCAGGGAATAGGGACACTCAAGGAGAGGAAAAGAGACTGGGGAACAGCTGGTTGGTGGAGCAGTCAAAACACATACATTTAAGTTCACTGTCTTATAAGGGTGTGGTTTGTGGTGCCCCAAAACAATTACAATAGTAACATCAAAGATCACTGATCACCATAACAAATATAATAATAATGAAAAAGTTTGAAATATTGTGAAAATTACCAAAATATGACAACAGACATGAAGTGAGCAAATGCTTTTGGAACAATGTGCCAAAAGACTCGATGCAGATCTACCACAAACCTTCAATTTGTAAAAAAAATACAGTATCTGTGAAGTGCAGTAAAGCAAAGCACAATAAAACAAGGTACACCTGTATTATACATGACACTGAAAAATAGAAATGGCAAGCATCTTTCAGTAAAGAAATGGAAAACTAAAATGTGGTATGGTCTCATAATAAAATATTATATGACATTAAAAAGAATAAAGTATTAATCAATTTGGACCAAGTACAATATTAAAAATTTTTAAATGGAGGTACAGTAACCTACATATCAAATGAGATAACTGACATCATTCTAAGAAGCGTATAAAACAAAATATATATTCTTCCATGATACATACATTTCTGTCTACTTACACAAATAGAATGAGAAATTAATGTATATATATATAAATATATAAACATGTATATGAACAGTGAGTCAAGGATGAAAACCCAGCTGTGGTAGGCTGAATAATGGCCTAAGGATATTCATGTCCTAATCCTGGAACACGTGAATATTACTGTATATGGCAAGAGGGCCTTTGTAGATGTGATTAGCTAAGAATCCTGAAAAGAGAGCATCCTGGATTATCCAGGTGGACCCTAAGGAAAATCAAAAGTGCCCTAATAAATAAGAAGGAGCCAGAAAGAGATGTGACTACAGAAGAGAAGAAGGCAATATAAAGAGTTGAGACTGATGTGATATGCCTTGAAAATGGAGGAAGGTGCCACAACAGCTGAAAAAAGCAAGGAAACAGATTCTCCCACCAGAGCCCAGAAGGTACAAGTCCTGTCATCACCTTGTAAGATTAATTTGGACTTCCCTCTAACTGTGTGTTGGTTTAAACCATTAAATCTGTGGCAATTTGTTACAGCTGTAACAGGAAACTAATATATAGGGATACACTAATTGCCAGGAGTCAAAGTCCTTAATTGTCCTGAAGGAGACATCACTAGAGGGGTAGAAGGAGGGTTGTATGAAGTTATAGGAGCTGCTAGTAGAGGCTTTGCAGAAGAGCAGGCAGTGGGGTCAAATGATGCAGAGAGGTCAAGTAACTCCAAAACTGCAACATATCATTGGTAACAGACTCTGACCAGGGAAAACAGCAAAGCACAGAACTCTCAGGGCCACATGCCTCCAAAGGAACACCTAAAAAACTGGCAAAAACTATCAGAATCAACTTTAGCAGAACTCTGGAAAATAGACAAAGGTTACAACAATCAAGAGAATGATTAATCAAGAAAAATGCAACTGAAACCTGGTAGGAGGGATCTTGTGCTGTTTTAACTTACCCTTGCTCCATTTCACCCTCTCAGGCTGTATTAGCTTGCTATGGTTGCCATAACAAAGTATACAGACTGAGTGGCTTAAACAACATAAGTTTATTATCTCACAGATCTGGAGGCTAGAAGTCCAAGATTAAGGTGTCAGCAGGGCTGGTTCCTTCTGAGGGCTGTGAGATAAGAATCTATTCAAAGCCTTTCTCCTTGGCTTTCAGATGGCTGTCTTCTCCCTGTAACTCTACAACATCTTCCTGCTATATGTAGCTCTGTGTCCAAATTTCCCTTTTATAAGGACACTAGTATTGGATTAGGGCCCACTCTAATGACCTCACTTTAACCTGATTACCTCTGTAAAGACCCTTTCTCCCAATAAGGTCATATTCTGAGATATCAATGATTAGGACTTTAACATATAAACTTTCAGGAGACAATTCAACCAGTAACATTTGGTCTTGAAGATGGACTCCAATATTCTTGGTGTAGATTCCTGGTGCCAGAGAGAGCAGAATGGAGCTGTTTCTCAACAATTGGGGTTGTTTGTTTTGACCTGTCTGGTGGAGACCTGAAAAGACTACAGCAGAATGCTCAGAACCTCTCACATCAGAGAAATGACTACGTGAAGGGCACTTACTGAAAACATTTAAAGGCAAATGAACCAGCTGCTGCCACTGGGGCAAAGGATGTCAGCTGGAGCAAACAAAAGATATGTCAAAAAAGTCTGTGAAGAAAAGCTGGGGAGTGAAATGCTTTGGGGCTTTGAAAAGTTTCCATATAGTCCTGGAAATCTAGAAGACCCACACATAACTAGGATGAGGCACATGTTCAGAAAAGACCTGACAA